CTTCAGTCTTTCTCTATTTGTTTCCCTCTCAAAACAAAACGTGCCACCCCAGAACATGAAAGCCTTTCACCCATTTCACCCCAAAATGACTTAAGACATTCAGTTCTGTTCAGTCTATGAAAAAAAGCTATAATTAATGCACACACACACAGTAACAATTATATTTAAAAAAAAAAAGTACATAGCAATATCTGGCAACACTGGTCGCCGGCACTTAAACTGACAGTAATCAAAAAAGCCCGCGGACAGGTTATTGCTGACATGAAATGAAATATGCAAACACTAGCCAGTAAGAAGTCTATGCTATTTCTTTAGTTACATTTTCACAAAGTCATGCTAAAAACATTCATATGAGCAAGTTATTATCTATATAGCAATGGTTATTAATGAAAACTATAACTAATATGTATTGTTGCATGAATAATAAACAACTAATAAAATTATCCACCTCTAAGCTATAGTAAAGTATAAACAAATTTTGATGCAATAAACATGGTTTAATTGTGGTACAATGTTCAACCCTCCAAAACAGATAAAACATCTTTCACAAACATCTACATGTCTGTCTCTAAAGTGTTTAGTGTACATAATGAGCAAGTAACTAGTAAAGTAACGCATTACTTTTTAATTGACAAGATCATATCGGAGTTACTTTTTCAAATAAGTAACGCAAGTTACTTTTTTCCCCCAATTTATTGATTGACAGCTCTCCTGTCCCCATGTTGAGAGAAATCAGAAGATGTTACTGTAGTTCTAAAATAAATATGAATATGCATTAATTCATCTCACTCACACAAAAAAAAAACACAGATTCAGTATTCCTCAAAATGAATACAAATAATGCAACTCAGAATATGACGCAAACCTGCAATAATTAAATGTTAAACAACACAAATATGCTTTATGTATTTAATCCCATTCTATTAACCAAAGTCTTTGCTTCTGACCTTCGATGATCCAGTTCAACCGTACTAATAAGCAAAAATTACTCTAGACAAACATTTGTGTGTCTTTTTTTATTCCTGAAGTGTGTTGAAATTTCTTCTTCTGCGTTCTACTTTACTTTCCCTTCAGCCTGAGGCTTATTCATTTCACTTTTGGTGTGAAAAGGCTTTTATATTTGCCAAAAATATAACTTTTTTATTTTAAAAACAAACAAGCAAGCCCTGTCCAGATTTAAAGAGTAACGCAAAAGTAACGTAACGCATTACTTTCCATAAAAAGTAACTACGTAACGTAATTAGTTACTTTTTTATGGAGTAACGCAATATTGTAATGCATTACTTTTAAAAGTAACTTTCCTCAGCACTGATAATGAGTTGTATTTGTAGGGGTTATTACAGCACAATTCTTAACCCCACCCCAGACCTCACTAATTTTCAAACCCTGGCTACAGCCATGAAACTAACATTAACAAAGGTTGATAAATGCTGTAAAAAACACATTGCTCTAGTTAATGTTAACTAATGTTTGGTCCTTTTTGTTCATTTTTTTAAGCCATTTTGCTTCTCAAGTAAATGTTTCTCGATTTAAGGATGTTAAGATGTTTGTACTGGAAAACAAGACAAAGATAGTGAGGAAGAACATTGTTGCGGTGGACATTCAGAGCTACACTGCAATGGTTCATTTGATTCGACCCGCTGTTTGACTGTCTCTCTTGCTCTAAGCGCAGTGTTTTCTGGTTCTCTGTCTCTGTCCTGCAGGACTTTTCCTCTCTCAGCTCAGGGTTCCTGTGACGAGGATCTTTCTGATTTGGCCTAAATGTGCAGCATCCATCGGCCAGATGCAGAATAGTGTGCCAAAAGCGGATGGGTGCTCTGGCGCTACGAGAAATATCAGATCAAATGAAGCTGGAGCGGGGGGTGAGGGTGGCACTTGGGAACCAACAACTGAGTCAATTCTGCTAATTAACTGCCAATTAGCGGTCCCTAAATGCAAGAGATGCTGACGATGTTCTCTGCCAGCAGCTCGCGCCGCCGCTCATCTCCACTCGTCCTCTTGAGCCGTATATTTAGAAACAGCGGCCCGCGAGACTCCAGAAAAAGACTGGACGCTCTCATCTAGGTCAAAGTTAAATGGATAACCAGTAACTTCAGCCGTGTGTAACACAGCGACAGACAGACAGACGGTGTGTGTGCGAGCGCAGATCTGTGTGTTTAAACTCAACGCCCCCAAACTTTCCCATGCTCTGAGGAGGAAAATCAAACATCTTTACAGGCCAGCTTATACTTTTTACATCACATTTGGAAAATATTAAGCCATTATTTTGAATTTCATAACAGCTGGCCATGCCAAGTGAAAGGGTCATAAAAAACATAAAGCTGATCTGTTTGTTCGTGCCTCATTTGAGTTCAGGGAGGGAGAGAGAGTTATGAAACCCTTTCTCCAGTCGTCTCAGTAAAAGCAGACTAGGATGAATCCTTCATGATTCATATAAAGACTAATACAGAGCCACAGACTGGACACCAGCAGAGATGGTTCGGTCTGAGACGCCTCAGCTTTAGATGCTGAGACACAACTGGTGAAGCAACAACAGATTACCAATAAAGACACAAATACAGAGAGAGAGAGAGAGCGAGTGTGTGTGTGTGTGTGTGTGTGTGTGTGGGCATCAGGTAAGAGCAGGTCCACACAATCCTGCAGATGTCAAAGGTCCTTCATAAGTCATCTATTCCACTCCATTTGTCAGCTCATTAGTCAAACGAGTTTCCACGAGTGACAACACAGAGACAGAGACGCAGAAGAAACCTGACCAAACCCATCACTGGGTGCTTCCTCGAGCACTTTCAGCCCTGCGGACATCAACACAATAAACATTCTTGTTTTTCAAATAATTGTTTATTCTGTGGTGGAAATGACAATTGAAACGGATTCCTTTGTCTAATGTCATATCTAGCATTTTATGTGTCCAAAATACAATTGAATCATATTTTCAAACTTTTTTCTTCATTTGCAGAAATTACAGCTTGTTTGTAAAAGATGCGCAGTAAAAATATTCTGCAAATATGCACTAACCTTTGAAAAATGTGGTGGAAATGTTGTGTAAAAAATGATATTAACCCATTTGACATACTGAAATGGTTTATGGTTATTTCACTTTTTGTTTGGATAATCTCAGTTTTACATGTAATAAAATATTTTTATATAGTATTTTTTATAGTTAACTCTTAAAAAAATAATAATAATGAAACGATGGTGAAACGATTCCAAGACCGTTTTAATCAAAATCAAGCCCTGGGACATAAAAGATTCTGAAGTTGAAGAAACACCCAGAAATGGCTACAAGAGCAACCGATAATGAGACAAGCCTGCCTCTCTTTCATAATACTGTGTCGAGTCAAGTCACATTTATTTGTATAGCGTACACTGTGTGTGTGTTTAGCAGAGGTGTGTGTGCTGTCAGCATGTGATCAGGCCTCATTTAGACAGATAGAATAACACACACACACACAGCTGCACTTATAGTGTGGTGTGTAAAGCGTCTCTCTCGCTCTCTCTCTGAGGTCAAACAGGATTGCTGTGCAGGATTGCCTCAGATTTAATTACCCATCAGCTACACAGTGAAGCACCAACAGCAGTGACCGTCACACACACACACACACACACACACACACGCAGAGCAGAGATCAGATCCACGGCGCAGAGAGAGATGGACAGGTAGACGGGCTGGTCAGAGCAGGAGATGCGCCGTCTATTGACACGTTACACAGAGCACCCTTGTGCCTCCTCCAGCTCTGATTGTGCCGATAGATGGATAGATGGATAGATGGATAGATGGATAGATGGATAGATGGATAGATGGATAGATGGATAGATGGATAGATAGATAGATGGATAGATGGATAGATGGATAGATAGATAGATGGATAGATGGATAGATGGATAGATAGATAGATAGATGGATAGATGGATAGATTGATAGATAGATAGATAGATAGATAGATAGATAGATAGATAGATAGACTCAAGTCTTTCAGTATCTGGAGTCTAAAACTGAGAGTGCTCATCTTGACTCAACTCACTCGTTCTCTCTCAGTGGTTCTTTGGGGTTTTACGGGTTATTTCAGCATTAATCAGCATGAAACAGGCAAAGCAACTCAATTTTCTGCTGCCGTAGGTGTGTGACGGCATGAAAGCTTGGTTACCGCTGTAATTGAAACACCATCCAGCAGCCGGGCGCGTGAAAGGCAGATAACAGCATTCCTGTGGCCAATTTAAGTACCTGGCCTGATCCGGCAGACAAATCAAGCTCATTCTCCAGGCGTGTTGCTCATTGTGAGCCGGCACCAGAATGAGGTGTAGGGTAAAAATTAATCACAAAAGCAAAAAAATCAATTGACCCCGGGGAGGTGCGCGGGCCTGCGGGCCGATAAAGCCGAGAGCCACCGCCTGTACCCAACAGATAGAGCGCCGCGTAAATGAGTCCGCTCTGATAAATACATTAAGGGAAGCAGTGAATAAAAGGCAGGGACTTCTCATTTGTAAATAGAAGCTCCACTACACAGAATTAGACTGATAAAATAGCGCTCCGTATAATTAAGTTTGTGTAAGGCCAGAAAATCCGTGCAAATACCTTCCCGGTGTTTTGAAAAGAAGCTGTCAGCTCAATTAATCTGAACATCGGCCGCAGAATGTAGCGAAGGAAATTAAGCCTGCGATAAAAAAAGAGCCCGGCCGAGTATTTTGATAAATAATGACTGTATCATTTCTTTGGCTCTGTGATCATTATATTTAATCCACCACCTCCAGTTATGAGCTAAGCCATCTACAAAGACGCTGCCGGCCAGAGCGCCGTGGCTCTAATCCGGCACGGAGCAGATCGGGGAAGAGGTGCACCACTGTCCTCTTCCTCTTAATGCATCAAAGGGACACAAATGTGGGTTGAACGGCAAAGAGCCGCGGCGATAACGTGCTCGCATGCTGCGCCACGTAGAGTCCACGCACAAACGCTTTCCCATGGTCAACACTACTGGCAATAGATGAAAAGTGACTTGACTCACCAGTTGTTTACTTGTAAGATGGTGAGGCCCGTGTCTTGAGCGAGCTGTTTCTTCTGTTCTTCTGAAGGATACGGGTGCTGCAAGAGAACACAAGAGAACACGCTCCATCAGGATCAGGGGAAAGTGCACTGCCACTCGTCTACATACAGTAAACATTATGCAACTAGTCGACTAGTAGCAACAACGACTAGCTGTGCAAACCCTGGAAATGGTGGTGTGGGCCAGGGCCAGTAATTAGAAACGGCCAAACTGGTCACAATGCTGCTCTGCCGCTCTTTATTACGCATCACTCTGTTTGTTGTTAGGATGACCAGAAGTTGACAAATTAAATTTTAGGCTTGTCTGCCTCATCAGTGTCTCAATAACTGAGATAGCCAATCAAATCAAAGAAGGCGGGGCTGTACTGTTCATAGAAGATGAACATGAACTCCAACTCTACAATTCAGTTTTAACCGTCAAAGAGTGTGAGGTAAGATGTAAGTAGCTAAACATTTCATATTTCATCATAACTGTTTAACAATAGACATGCCAGGAAAACAACTTTATTGTCAAATTATGCCGTTTTTAAAAAAAAATGCAGACTTTGATTTTCAGGCTTCAATTAATTCAAGAATGTGACGAGACTAGACACAATGTGTGGCAAACATATTAGGCGTATGATTAAGAGTGAATGTGTGCATTAAAAAAAATGCAAATAGATAACAATAAATTCAATTTTTTTTACATATTTACCTTTTTTGGTAACACTAACAGCCTTCTAATACTGTAATGACTGATAGCTGACATGTAGTTTCAAAGTTACTTAGAGTCATCAGATTGTCTGAAGTGTAATTTCCCTTTAAATCCTTTAATAAAAAAGGGTAAAAAAAATGTAATACCCAATAAAAATGGTAATCAAAAAAATGTTTTAATACCCAATAAAAATGGTTATTGAAGAAAAATGGTTCTATTCCCCCAATGTCACTAGCGATGAGAGTAAGCGCTCTGTATATGCGGTGGTTGTGAATCCAGCCCTGCACATGTCAGGTGTTCTGCTGATCTTTAGTTGAGAGATCACTCTAGTAATGAGCTGACGGCTTGAATCCGCTGTGCTGAACGAAGGAGATGTGCAGTGCAGGGCCTGCAGGGATGAGCCGGTCTGACGGCAGTGTGTCCACACAGCTTGCATTTGTTGCATCTTTTGCAATATGTCTGTAGAAAAGACAAGTGTCTCTGCCTAGTTACAACGGTAAAGTGCTGCTGCTTCTGCTGCTTGTGTGATGCAAACAACAATATGATGCGAGATCAGCGGGGTGAGGGTTGCAGATTAATTCGGGATTGAAGCATGTGTAAAAACAGCCACAGAAAATCCCGCACGCTAAACACACAGATCCGTACAGCACCGCTGTGAATTCTCCAGTCAGATTAAACGCATCGCTCGGAGCGGAAAGATGGAAAACATCCTCCTTTCCTCGACGGTTAGAGACGTGACTTCAGCTCGTCCCTTGTGTCACTGCTGAACGCAGGCCAAGCGCTAAAGCAAGACGTTTCTGAAAAGGTCTCTTACTGCCAGGAGTCACACCTGCAAGCACAATCCCCGCGCGGGATGCAATGATACAATTTGTGTCACTGTTGATCTGCCAAATGTGACATGATAGAAATGGCAGGATTGAATTTGTGCCTTGCGTGTCTCAAGCATGACGAACAATAGTGATCCGCACTGACAGATGTCTTTAAGAGGCAGATTAAGAACCAAACAAACCTCACACGCCGCTTTGATTTAGCCCTCGCCACACATGTGCGCCCACACACACACACGCAAGCACACACACACACACACACACACACACACACACGCAAGCACACACACATGCACCCATACACACACGCATGCACACATTTACGCACATATGCACACACACACACATTTCACACACATGCACACACACACACACATACACACACGTGAGGATAAATCGGGCTGTCTGCAGTAGGTGTAGGTGGCACATCTCTCTTCTAGTAGGTCAATCTTACAAATTGTATAAAAGTCACCAGGAACAAAAGCATAAAATAAGCTCGACTGACACTGACCCTGAGCGCTCACGTTGAGAAACAAACGGCCGAGGTTTCATTTAAGAGCGGGAGGAGGGAACTTTTCAGGAATGTGTCCAATTAATCAGAAAACAATTGTAAGATTGAACAAATAATGAAGGAAAAAGAGACGCATGAATCAGATTTCTACTTGTGCACACTGGAGCTTATAATATGCTAAAATCATTAACAAAGAAATATGATAATGGGCACATAGAAATAAATTTTTTGATTGCTAAGTGCTGACATATGCTTGGCAAGACAAGGTCTGTTTTTTCTGTGAAGCACACAGACAGCAGCAGATTCTCTCTCACTGGAGTCCTGCACTGAACACATTGAATTCAGTCTTGCATTGTGAATGCATCCCGGCGCAGTTCATCATGTGCTGATTCATCAGGCAAA